GGCCCTTTTTTCTACTTTCTCAGTTGCATTCGTTTTATTACTGATGCCCACAACACTTTCTCAAAATTTCGACTGTGCCCACTGGCTCAGAGTGGTTGGTGACTGAACTATTGTTAGCACTTGGGTGCGGAAACGTTTCACAGAGTTTGAGTGGGACTATAAAAGAGAAATTTCTTGCTAAAAGTTAAAGTTCATGGAAACACAGCAGAAACAGCACCACTTGTTTTAGCCAAATAATTGTGGTATTTCCCTTTGTGTGTGTACTTTTCTCTGTGGTGAGGGGCATCATTAACTGATAAAATAAGAACAGACAGTACTGTATCTGGAAAGCTGCTCTTACACAAATCTGTTTTTAAATTGTGTGTGTGTGTGTGTGTGAGAGAGAGAGAGAGCGAGAGAGAGAGCACAAATGTTTTGAAAACCAAACGCCTTCTTGTGGTATTTTACTACTTCCTTCTTTCATTTCTAAGTAAAACTGCATCAATACTTTGGTAAATATGGAACGCTCTATTAAAACACTTTCAATGTTTGGATTGATCTTAAATGACTTTGGGTGTGATAGATCTTTGTATCATTTGAACTGGCTTGTTCTATGATTCTATTCTTTCTTAAAAGGACACCCGAATTTGAGGATTCTTTCCTCCAAGAAAATAATGTGAGATATATGTATATACGTGTGTGTGTGTGTGTGTGTGTATGTGTATGTGTGTGTGCGCACACGTGCGTGCGTTTGTGTGTGTGTGTGTGTGGATAGATGATAGATAGATAGATAGATAGATAGATAGATATAATTTGAAAAGGCAAATGCAAAGCTAAAGGGGTGGTAGTTGGGATTCTATGATTTTCTTAAGCCACTTGATGCAGTTTCTGAAGTTTCCATGAGAACTGAATGAGAATGAAGTTCATTTTGTAGTGCATCTTTGCTGTTCACAGTACACTGTGTGTGCTTTGATGTTTTCTTAATTGGTCTTTTCAAGTATATTTTACACTTTATCAGAGAAGCTTATAAAATTAGGAAGGCCTGAAATAAAAATGCCAAGGATGGCAGGGATGCATTGAGGATCAAGCTGTCAATTGAACTGGAGCAGAATCGGTTCCCTTCTGAAGGGGGTGAACTTGAACTTGAACTAATTCCTTTTTGGAGTGAGTGAACTTGAATTGGAACATTTTTTAAAAAATGAACTTTCAGTGTATTTTAGGAAGTAAAACATACTGTGTTTAGTGGGGCGATTCCTAGGAAAATGTATGTTGCAATAGATACATAAAAGGCTTTGAACACAAATATTTGAAGATGTTCCTCTTCCTTTATCAACTTGCCTATGCTTTGAGAGAGTCGCGGGAGGTCCTTTCCCATGTCACATCATTAGGGAAAGCACACATATACAAAGGAGACAATATTCTCTGTGTTGGTGCCCCAATTGTGGAATGCTCTCCAAGAGTGGTATGCCTAGTGCTGGCACTGTATTCTTCCAACTGCTGGGTTAAAACCTTTTTATTAACCCAGGCATTGAGAATTATGGTGTATTTAAGCTGGTTGAATAGTTTTATTCCTTTTAGTTTTGTTGCATTGCTGTTGGTTATGTTTTACATTCTATTTCTTATGCATTCTGCCCTGAAACCAATTTTTAGGTAAAGGTGCAGTATATACCTTTGAAAAACACACACACAAACAGATAAATAATAGCTGATGTGGTTTTTCTCAGATATCAGAAATGTGTTCTTTATTTGAAAATGCCCCCCCCCATTGATAAAACAGCCTGTCTGCTGTTTAAGCTTTCAAACTTACTACTAAGCACAATTTTGGTCCTTTGGAGATTTTCTGTCTGATTACTGTATGCATGTGAACTTATCGGAGATCACTGATGTTTCCTTTGGCTTCTCAAATTTCTTACTTCAGATAGAACCATCTAGAATCAGCCATCCTGCTGCCTCTTGTCCTTAGCTGCTTGGAGCAAGTTGCATCTGTATAGTCTTTAGAATGAGGCTACCAGATTTTTTTCAAAAAATCTGGGGACACTTTTTTTTTTGAAAAGAGAAAAAAAAAGTTATTTTTAAAAAGCTATTTAAAATAATAGTAATTAAGAAGTAATATCTTCTCTTCTGTGGTCTCCTCTGTCGTGTGGCCTTCCTCTGGGCCCCGGCCTGCTCTCTTGGAGCGCTAGTTGCCATGGAGTAGGCTCGGGTCAGGCCTGGGCTCAGCCACGTGTCCTTGCCCTCCCGGTGCTCTCCTACCTCTCCTCCTCAGTGGCGGTGGCAGCAGTGGTGCGGCAAGGTCAGGGCTCCTTCTCCTCTCTTCCTTCTCCGTGTTTCAGCCCCAGGGTTTTCCTGACCCCGGAGCGTCACTGGGCAATCGGCTGGGTGGCTGGGTGCTCTCGCTCCCGGCTTGATTTGGATCACGGGGGATCAGCAGTTCCCCCAGTTGACGCGCTGGGCATCGCTGGTTCCCCCTTGGCAGTGGCAGTGGCAGCAGTAGTCTCAGCAGCTCGGAGCCAGCCTGGTAGAGCAGTTGGCTCTGGCTGGCTTCAAGAGCTGCTCGCTGCCATGGCACCCGCCATTTTGCCTCACCAGAAGTCCCCATATGATGTGTCTTGTGCCACTGAACCAATCACACAGCATTCATTCCCTGCTAATAAATCTACAACACTTAAAATATAAATCCGGGAACATTAAATGAAATCCGGGGTCATTCCGGGGACGGATTTTGTCTGGGGATAGATTTGTAAATCTAGGGATTGTCCCTGGGAAATGGGGACATCTGGTAACCATACTTTAGAATTTCTTCCACCCCGTTTCTGCTTTCTTACCCTAATCAATCAGATTTTCATCCTATACATTCTATTAAAACAGCATTCACTTATGTTGTTGAGTTTGTTCGTCTGTGTGTACAACAAACCATGCTTGCAGTTGACCACTAGGCACAGGGAGGCACGTGGGTGGGTGTGGAGATCACACAGGGTCCACGGACATTTAACGGTCTATTGATCCCTGTGCCACCACTGTGCTCGCTTCCCCGCTGCCACCAACCCGTTACTCTCTGGTAAAACACTGAGTCCAAACAGTTGTTAAAAGTGAACCAAAAAGACAAGTTTATTTTACAAATATTAACAAGTTTATTGTTTCTCAGATAATATTCCTGTCAGTATCTTAACTTTAGTTTCTTTACCGGCCTATACCTTCCTAATACCTTCTGACTGACTATCTCAACTGTTTGACTGACTCCTCTTAACAAATTTTCTCACTCTCTCACACCAGACTAGCCCAGCCCACAGACTTATCTTCTCTGTCTCTTGTAACTCCAGACTGTCTTCTCAACCACCCTAACTCTAACTCTCTCACTCCAAAAAAACCTCTGTGCTAAAACCTTATACGCAGTTAACTCTGCCCCTTGGGTTCCTATTGCTTAGTCATTTTACAATTAGTTAACCCTTTTCTTAGGAGGTAAAGTCAGTTATGATTCATTGGGCTAAAGATTTTGGGTATAATATACAGCTGAATGATTGGGAAAAACTATGGAAAGAAGGTTTAAAGTTCACTGCATTCACCTTAAAAGAAAATGTGATGAAAATGATGTATAGATGGTATATTACACCTGTTAAATTAGCTAAAATGTATGAAATTAGCAACAAATGTTGGAAATGTAAATAAAAAGAAGGAACATTTTATCACATGTGGTGGGAATGTAAAAAAGTGAAAAGCTTCTGGGAAATGATATATAATAAGATGAAAAAAATGTTGAAATATACATTCATAAAGAAACCAGAAGCACTTTTACTGGGCATGGTAGGAAGTGATATAAATAGAAAAGAATGTAAGCTGTTTTTATGTGCAACGACGGCAACAAGAATATTATTAGCACAAAAATGGAAGCAAGAAGAATTACCAACGAAAGAAGAATGGAGGATGAAATTAATGGACAATGCAGAATTAGACAGACTAACAGGAAGGATTCAAAATCTGCGGGACCAGAAATTCACAGAAGACTGGTGTAAATTTACAGACTATTTGAAAAGTAATAGTGATGATCAAACTATGTTTGTAGGTTTGCAAGAAGTTTTGTGAGGTGAATTATTGGAATTATTGCAAAAATGGATAAAGGGGAGGATGATTAGTTAAGATAATTAAAGGCAATATGAATTTAAGAAGTGGTCAAAACGGGGGATCATCAGAGGTGCTGATGGGAGTCCATAAAACAATTGTACAAGTGGTGAAGTTTTGTGGTATGTATTATAATTCATATGTTAAAATTAATAAAAATTGTTATTAAAAAAATAGTTAACCCTTTCCTTATGAACCCAGTATGATGTCACACACCTAGGAGGGCAAACGCCACAGTGGGGAGTAATGACAGGCAGCGGCAATGCAGGGTATAAGAAGGCCACAACTTTATTGGTAACGGGAACATTGGGGCATGGCGTGACATAAGGATCTGTCTCCTCTATGCCTGGGCAGCCTGACTGCTGGCTTAATCTCCTTCCCAGCTTGCCTGCTGGGTAACCCATAGGAATTGCCAACAGGAGGTTCCCTCTGCAACACAGACTGATCTGGTGGGTCCCACAGCAACTTGGATGTCTGGAATCCAGTCGCTGTTCCCCTGACTGGAGCTAGGCACTTGCTATGCCACAGCTAATATCCCTTATGATAATCCCTCTTAAATTATGGATCCTACCAAATGCCTTCCCCTACTAAGCTGTGACAGGGGCACTGAGATACCTAAGAAACTCCATGGCTGAGTTGTTCAAGATATATTTCCAGTTCAGGTTCTTCAGAGGACTTATATTTGACACCCATAGTCACTTAGTAAAAAGGAAGCCTAATCTATGCAACTTTTAAGATCTGTGAGAACAGATTATAATTATCTCACTATTTGCAAATATTTCCTATAGTCATTTCCTCTAGATTTTCATTTTTGATACAAAGCTATTCAGTAGTAAAGATCAGTCCTAGAGAAGTACTGCTGTGGTTTATATTGGTAACAATTTGATCATACACTATATTTCCAGGTATGGGGTTGGGTGTTAAGTCCTCTGCTGCTGTTCTGCTCTGCATCCTCCTGCGGGTTTCTCAGTCATGGGCACCATGTAAGTTAAAATCTGACAATATGAATTTTTAGCACACATACCAGTATTAACAACTCAGCATTAGCAACCATTCACTTTATAATGTACAAAAATTACAAAGACTTGAATGAAATTTAGAGCTAAATCAATTGTAAAGGTTTATTTGAACCAAGTCTTTGTACCACTAAATGTCAGAGGCAAAATTCATAATGTTCGGTATAAAGTAAGCTCAAACAGTATAGTATATATTGCAACTTTCAGGACAGAACACAATAGTTATGCAATAGTTACGTAAGGTGAAGATCTCATTACAACTACAGAGATCTGTAACACGCAACAAAGATTTTTCTTTAAAAATGTTAAATAAATTAAGTGTTTTCTTATTACTTGGTTTTGGGGTGGGATTTTTTTTTGCATTAAAAATTCTAAGCAGCATTACTTATAACTAAAAGCCATGGGAATTTGTGTCTTTTGTGTTCTGGAAGTAGTTCAATAAATGTAATTTAATGTTATATCCATGGTTTGGTTATTCTTTTTTCTTTTAAATGAATTCTAGAGAAAAACAACAACCTACCATTTAAAAATCATGATTATGATGGGAAATAATGATCTGCTAGTTAATACTGTACAAAATTACATGGATTCCCCCCCCATGCTTTTCATCTGCAGTGTGGGATTTTTTGCCATTCTTCCTTTCACATTCAGTCTTAATATTCGCTTTGTTTTCAAGGTCTATACCCCATCAATCAATTTAATGGTTCTGAAGACGTCTTAGCAGGTAATGATACAAAAACAGAGCTCTCAGATATATTCACACACAACCTAGAAACCCTCCTCTTAATCTCCATGCTTCAGCAGAAAAGGTGTTGCCATTTTAGGACAACTCGCATTTGGACCTGAGCATTCATTCTAGCAGGGACAGGGAGGAATAATCTCTCAGCAGAAGATGCTTGGACATTCTTATTGTATTAAGCAATATCAACCTTGAGCTGTCAAATAATATTGTGTGAAAATGTTACATCAATGGCACTAAATACCTTGGAAGTCCCTCAAGGCTAGAGAAAGAGGAGCATGGAAAGTGCAGTGCCAAAAAAGGAGACCTTTTCTGCTGTGGTGGGAATGAAATAAAGCAAAGAGCTTTTGGCAAATGGTAATTACTATTACCTAGTGAAGTACTTGACCCTTTTCTGGGTGGTCTAATGTATGCAAGTTCTCCAGTATATGCACTTAAGCTTGCTTGGTTATTTTCCAGCCTTATACGATAAATCCAAGCCCAAAGTTTCTCCTTTTTAGTACTGAGAGGTGCAGCAGAAACATGTATATTTAGAAGATCTAACTTGGATGAGACTGATAGCCATTTATTTTGCAGATTATTTTAAACAATTACAACCCTTCGTTTTTGCTAGATGGTTGCCCAGAATACGAAATACAGAATCTCAATGGTAAGAGGATGGAGATTTCATGGCATGCAAAAAAAAAATTTCCAGGCAGGAACATGACGATGTCTTATAAGTAAGTACTGGCAAACAGACTTTCTTTGGATTTCTAGGTTTGAATGCTGGGAATTTTCAAACAAATTGGTCTATAAATGCACCCCCCCCTTTCCCTTTCCTTTCACTCCCTTTTATCCAAAGGAACTAAAGCATGAGATAGATAAGATTTTATATTTATATTCTGAACTCAAGCTGGTGAGAACATTGATCTGGCTTCCTTCTTATTGCACATATTCACTGTCCATTCCATATTGTTTGGAGGCCACAAATAGCTTTTCTGTTTGGTTGTTGGGAGAAAGCTGTATCCTCAACACTTTTAAAAACCTACAACCTATGGCCAGTTCTGGTGGCCAATTCTAAATGTGACTGTTGGTTTCACTGGACTTTGTTGTAGCATGTGAGGCTCGGTGTAATATGCTCAAGCCATCTTGCTCCGGTGAGTAACCTGGCCACTGAATTCTGCACCAGCTGAAGTTTCCGAACCGTCTCCAGAGGCAGCCCTATGTATAACGCATTGCAGTAATCGAACCTTGAGGTTACCAGAGCATAGACAACAGTAGTTAGGCTATCCCTGTCCAGACAGGGGCATAGCTGGGCCAGCAGCCAAAGCAGATGGAAGGCACTCTGGACCACTGAGGCCACCTCCGCCTCGAGCAACAACAAAGGATCCAGGAGTGCCCCCAAGCTATGAACCTGCTCCTTGAGAGGAAGTGTAACCCCATCAACAGCAGGCAATCTCTCACCCATCCAGTCTAAGGAACAACCCACTAACAGTGCCTCAATCGTATCTGGATTGAGCTTCAGTTTGTTGGCTCTCATCCAGTCCACTACTGAGACAAGACACTGGTCCAGCACTTCCACTGCCTCACCTGCAGATGTAAAGGAGAAATAGAACTGAGTGTCATCAGTATACTGCTGACAACATACTCCAAACCTCCAGATAACCTCACCCAGCAGTTTCGTATACAGTAGATGTTAAACAATGTAGGGGGTAAGATTGAGCCCTGCGGAACCCCAGACTGAAGTTCCCAGGGGGTTAAAAGCATTCCCCAAGCAACAACCTCTGGGAATGACCATCCAAGTAGGACTGGAACTACCACAAAGTGGTGCCACCCATCCCTAATTCGAACAGTCACTCCCGAAGGATAGTCGGTGGTATCTAAAGCCACTGAGTGGAATATAGAGCCTCCAGACAGTGCAAAAAGTACAAGAATAAATGGCTGAGCTGCTGGAATATGTCACACACAACACCCCTCTCTCCTGGGTGGTGGGGCTTTTCATGCTCTCTGGCAAGTTGCCCGTTGAAGCTGCAGAACCAGCAGAGTAAGGCTACCTTGGAACAGGCAAGACTTCTTGCAGTAACCTTGCTATTCACTCTTCTTGCTCTAGATGTAAGCACTGTCTTTTGATAACTTAGCGGCAGATGAGCCCTGTTACTATAGAAGACAAGCATCTTTGTGCTGGCTGAACTCTCAGAATTGTAAATATCCAAAACAATAACTTTATTTATTTAAAACTGTGAACTGTTGTAGAGTGAAGCTGTTAATATTGAAGTGGTGGAAATTAAATAGATGGTCAAAACCAGTATAGTTAGAAATCATGTTGTCCCTACCTCAAAGGAACAACACGTGACTTGTAGTTGTCAAATCCTGTCAATTGCCTTGCTTTTTGGAAAAAGTGTTTCAAAGGAGGCCAACTAAACACTACTGCATTCTATTATTTAAATAAAATAAAATAAAAGTATCTTACATTTCATGGACAGGACCTGGCAGGACAGGAATCTGCTCTAGAGTGCAGAGGGCTAGGCAAGGATTATCCCCTTTAAAGCATTTCCAAATATCCTGATTTTCAATGGAAAAGATTTTTGCCATCTTATTGAGTATGATTATTTCAATTGCAGGTTTGATGAACAAGAAGAGAAGCAGTGCATTGAATATTTGCATGACCAAGGATACAACAGTGGGTGTCTATTTCCTACTGAAGGGAGTTATCTGCACATTTACATTAGGAATCCAAATCAGACAGAGGAGGCTTACTTTGATGAACAAGAGAGCAGCAATTTGTGTAAGTTAACAACTATTATCACTCTGGCAGTAATCTTTTCAGGTGTCAGTGCCTCACTAGGATTACAAAAGAAAAAAAAGAGGAAGCAACAGCAATTTGACATCTTCAGATTCTGCTTAGTAAATATCTGTGGTGTTGTTGTTGTTGTTGTTGTTGTTATTATTATTATTATTATTATTATTAATGGGACATGGGTGATGCTGTGGTCTAAATCACAGCCTCTTGGGCTTGCCGATCAGAAGGTCAGCTGTTCAAATCCCCGCGACGGGGTGAGCTCCCGATGCTCTGTCTCAGCTCCTGCCACCCTGGCAGTTTGAAAGCACGCCAGTGAAAGTACCGGTAAATAAATAGGTACTGCTGTGGCGGGAAGGTAATCGGAATTTCTGTGTGCTCTGGCTCCCATCACGGTGTTCTGTTGTGCCAGAAGTGGTTTAGTCATGCTGGCCACATAGTCCAGAAAGCTGTCTGTGGACAAACGCCGGCTCCCGTGATCTGAAAGTGAGATGAGCGCTGCAACCCCATAGTCACCTTTGACTGGACTTAACCATCCAGGGGTCCTTTACTTCTTCTTCTTCTTCTTCTTCTTCTTCTTCTTCTTCTTCTTCTTCTTCTTCTTCTTCTTCTTCTTCTTCTCCTCCTCCTCCTCCTCCTCCTCCTCCTCCTCCTCCTCCTCCTCCTTTCCCCAATGCTGCCTAATTTCAATTTTTTACCATTTTTGATGCCATTTATATGCAGTAGTACCTTGTTTTTCATAGTACGGAGAGCTGTTCTGCTGTTTCTACCTTTCCACATCAATCTCTGCCTAGAAATTCAGTGTTGTAGAGGATTCTGATTAATGTTCTAAGGCACACACTCAGTTAACACAGAATGCTTTGGAGTTTCACTGTGACAAATACGACTACCATATTGGAAAAAAAATCTATGACAGGGACAAAGTGTCTTTCCAAGAACCTTGTGTTCTCTCACTCATCTTTTCAATGAGGGACTGCCTTTCATGCTTTCAAAGAACCCATGAATCCCCAGGAATCAGTTTATAACTATCACACACAACAGCATTTGATTCTCGGTATGCAGTAGCTTTTGCTATCTGACTGCATTTAAAAGTGTTCTCGCCACATATTTATCCTTATATAGCATGCAACAACATGCCGTAGCAGTTATTAGTTGACTGATAGCTTATGTGATTTCATATTTTGTTGTTATTTGAGCAGGCTTCAATCATGAGATGCTAACAAGTACAATATGTTCAATTAAAACATTTTGTAGCTCGACTGTGTAATTGAGTGTATTAATGTTATCTTCACCAGTGAAGCCCAACCCACCTGAACACGTTACTTTCCAATGGGCAGATGACAAAGTAACTGTGCAGTGCAAGGGAGTTGACAAGGAACATTGTTTTCGCTTTGAACTTCAGTACAAAAGCCAACTTGACAAAGATTGGCAGGTGGGTAGATAAGTGCAGCTTTGCATTGCAGAATGGAAACCTGGAAAGGGACTTTTTCTTTTGCAGTGCAGAAATAAATGTGGGTGTTTTTTGTTAGGAGTTTTCCACCACATCAACATAGTCTTGAATTGGTGAATTTGAAACTCATCATCTTGGGTTGCCAGCAGCAAAAAAGAAGGCCTTGAAGCCTGGCAAAGCTGAGATGTCCAGAATTGCAAATGGACCGCTGAGGCCCAGCTGTGGAAAGTGGGCTGATTATTGTGCAGATCAAATCTCCTGCATTTGCCGCAGTTTGGCACCTGATATTTCATGCCTCAACCTTGTAAGCTTTATTGTTGGCTAGTTGATATTGGTTTCAACTTGGAACTTATGCAAGACACAGAATGCAGGGAAAACAATTACCGTATTTTTTGCTCTATAAGACTCACTTTTTCCCTCCTAAAAAGTAAGGGGAAATGTGTGTGCGTCTTATGGAGCGAATGCAGGCTGCGCAGCTATCCCAGAAGCCAGAACAGCAAGAGGGATTGCTGCTTTCACTGCGCAGCGATCCCCCTTGGTGTTCTGGCTTATGAGATTCAGAATATTTTTTTTCTTGTTTTCCTCCTCCAAAAACTAGGTGCGTCTTGTGGTCAGGTGTGTCTTATAGAGTGAAAAATACGGTATCTGAGCAAGGATAGACTCTCCAATTGTCCCTATTTTCCAGGGGCAGGCCCAGATTTACAGAAGCCGTCACGGTTTCTGTTTAGATCCTGGACATCCCTATTTTCACCGGAGAAATGTTGGAGGGTATGGAGTTATGTGACTCCTGATCCAATGGGATACAACCTTTAGAAGACATCTGAAGGCAGCCCTGTACAGTGGTACCTCGGGTTACATACGCTTCAGGTTACAGACTCCGCTAACCCAGAAATAGTACCTTAAGAACTTTGCTTCAGGGTGAGAACAGAAATTGTGCTCCAGTGGCGTGGCGGCAGCAGGAGGCCCCATTAGCTAAAGTGGTGCTTCAGGTTAAGAACAGTTTCAGGTTAAGAATGGACCTCCAGAATGAATTAAGTACTTAACCCGAGGTACCACTGTATAGGAAAGTTTTTAAATGTTTAATGTTTTATTATGTTTTTACATCTGTTATATCTGTTGGAAGCCACTCAGAGTGGCTGGGGCAACCCAGTCAGATGGGTGGAGTATAAATAACAAAAATTCTCATTGGAGAAATGTTGGCGGTTATGCAATGACATCACAGTGCACTCTAAATTGATTGCCAGTGGACTGTTGTTCACATCCCCCTCATCTGTGTATTTTGACACACAGTCCCAATTATCTGAGTGGAACTTAATTTCACAAACTGTGTTTAAGTAGCTGTGTTTAGGCAACTAAAGATCTGATAATTCCTTGGGGACTTTATATGCAAGAAAGCTGGGGAAATCCCCAAGTTGCTACTTCATTGTTCTAATTCATATGTTGAATAATTCCTCATGGTGTACAAGCTTCTTTCTTTCAAAGCATTGCCAGAATAATGAACTAAGGGTTGCATCAAACTAAGTTCATCATGTCCATTGATTTCAATGGGTCTACTCTGTGCAAGGCAAGCACAGACTATAACCCTGAGATGAAAACCTAATGCCTAATGAAAACCTATTAGAATAGCCTAGAAAATATACAGTGAACAAAATTATTAATGACTGGTACTCTTGCTGTTCAGTCTAGGGACCAAGAATGTTGTGAGATTAAAGACCAAGGATTTGATCCAGCGAAATGCTATTCCTTTCGATTCAGGCTGAATCACAGTTGCAGTGTATTTGCTTATTCCAGTGAATGGGGAGCAGAAACACATTGGAAAAATGGCAGCTCTGTAGGTAAAAATAAAATAAAACACACTGCTACTGTAAATCCTCTTTCTGAAACTTCTATTTCTAGATAATGCTAACATGTAGACCTACTTCTTGTCATTTATTTAGTGTTCAGGGTATGCTGTCTTATATACAGGGTGCCCCCCAGACTGCCACTCTTCTGCAGTACAGATTCAAGCACATAAGTTTTAGGTTTGCACAATTAAAGTTTATCATCATCATCATCATCATCATCATTTTATTTATACTCCGCAGTCACCATAACACAACAAATCCACTATTTTATTTGATTTTAAATTGTTTAAGAACCAACAACTAACCCTCCCCTGCCCTGCTGTCAAATCCCCCCACTCCCAAATTAGCAGTGATAACAGGGCAATGCCAAAATCCCTTCAATGATTTTTTCCAGGCACCGAGGAGTCTGGGAAATGTAGTTCTCCACTGGAAAGTTGTCATTGCAGTATTCTAGGGGCTGGGAGGTTTTGCACAGACAACTCCAGCGAAACTGTACTGCTACCTTACCATTTCAGGGTGCGTTTTAGGGAAGGGCGTCGGAAGTGGGGCACGCTTTAGGGAGGGAAACTTTGATTCATCACATATTGTGGATCTGCAATCCCCATCAACCCCAGTAAGTGACTATAAAAGTCAAGATCCAAACTGAGCAGAGTTCTCCCATAACGGTCCCAAGCCTTATTTCCAAATGCTACAGCACTGAGGGTGATTAGTCAACACAGGGACCTGTTTTCAGTGACATCCCAGTGGCCCATTTCACAACTGGGAAACAGCAGAGAATTGGACACAGGACTTTAAATGAATTTCAGTTGATATTCTCTCCAGACAACATTTTGTTATAATATATTCCTTTAAAAGCATTCATTAGCAGGCATCAGCACATGTACATGACACTATATTTCCTGTTCCAGTATAGTCACGCTTTCTGTTGGAACGAAGAAGGTTAGTTATATAAATGACAATATAAAGAGCTAAATGACAATATAAAGAGCTAATTTTTATTCACAAAGCAGAAAAAATCTCATACCGGTATTCTTGTATTCTTTCATCCTAGCAGAAGGGTACTTCAGTGGACAACACAAAATTCCACATTATTGTGAAATGTAGAAGCTTAAAAGAATGGTGGCCTAAAGATTAATAGTATATATTATTCCATTTTTTAATAATTGCTTTTCGAAAGAAAGAGTTGGCCAAAATATGCTTTAAAGAATCTGATGTTTCTTTTTTCAAATATGCTGGAAAACACTTTGAACTTTTTTCTTTTTGTCATTCCTCATAGACTCTTGTGATATAGATGTCTCTGAACCCAAATCAATTACAGTAATCCCTTTGACCTTGGTGATGGCTGGCGTCCTGGTAATATTTGCCCTTCTGTTGTGTGTTTGCAGATGGGAAAGGTAAATGCTGCTTTGTGCACTCACAAACCCTTGATCAAAATGATCAAAATGATAGAACAATACTTGTGGCGGGAAGGCCTACACATTTCAGGGATCTAATGGGTACAGTGTGCATTTTGAGAAAGGATGAACTGCACCTATCCATTGGATCTTGGCTGGTGGAGATGAAGATGATCAAGGTGTGGCAGAAAGACCTTCAGCAGTTTACTCCCCCCCCCCCCCCAGAATTTTACTCCCATATTACAGATTATGGGAGGGAATGTTTGGAATTTGCTATATACAGTATATGACGTGGGTCTTCCAGGTTTATAATTTAGAGAATAGTAGAGAACGGATGCATGGGATCTGAGTCAGAGTGGGGCCAACTATGTCTTCAGGATTTACACAAATATCCTGGAGGAGCTGTGTGAAGTTTTTTGCGTGTAGGTAAGAATGAACAGGTTGGATAGGCAGGAGCTGAGCCTGAAGGCAAAGAAAGGGGTGTCGACTAAGGGTGGAATGCTAGAGAAGATTCAAAGGAAGCCCTCTGGCCAACAAGTAACATAATAGTCACAAGGTGGTACAGGAAGTTTATGTAAAGTCTTTTAGCCAATCAGAATTTGGAGTGGCTTCCTTTCACTAATCCTGGATAAAATTAAGGATTGGGCTCATAAAAGAATGCATGAGGAGCATCGTGAAACCATCTTGGCTAGGCCCACCACCAATAGTTGGAGAAGGCATGCCTCCACACTTTGGCCAATGTGCAAAGGGGCTTTGTGTGAATACTGATGTGTGTGCTTAGAGTCCTTTCACATGCCAACCGATCGGGGCATTGCAGCTGCATGTGTTGGGGGAGAGATAGACTTTATTCGCATTAGCCAACGGCCATAGCAACATAAAACAAGCAATATATACAAATAAAATATGTACAAATAAAAAAGATAGCAATGGGTAAAGAGGGCAATCAAATGACCAAGATTATCGTTCAGATAGCGGCCCTTAATCTCATTGCACCCTTGATAAACCTAGCAACCTTTGCTGTTGTCTGATCATTTTGATCTGATAGAAGAAAGAACAATGTGGCCTCAGATGGGCCTGGGATGGTAAGTAAGAGTGGGGTGATGACCTCATTCCTCAGATCTTTATAAAGGGGACAGGACAGGAGAACATGAGCCACTGTTTACTGTTGGGGGAGAGGCAAGCAATCTCTGGTATCTCCAGGTAGGTATGAGAGACTTCCCATCCAGAACCCTGGAGAGCGACTGACAGTCAGTATGAATAACGCTGAGCTAGTTGGCTCAAAGGCCCGACTCGTTTTAAGGTGGCTACCTTTAGTCCTAAGTGTAACCACCGTTGCCCATCTTTTTAACATGCTCTATGGGTGCGTGTATCTAAAACCCCTCTTTTTAGAACTGCATTTGCAGTGGAGGTAACTTTTAGCTGTCCATTCTTCCTTGGCAAGGAATCAGTGCTCTCTCTGGAGAAACTCAACAGACTCTGTTTATCATAATAGATGGACACTTTACTAGTAAGAAAATATTACTGAGTATGATGATTTTGTGATGGAGCCATATGATCAGATTGTGGTGGATTCATATATGTGGGGTCCAAAATCCTGTTCACTTTCAAAGATGTTTGTCCTGGTCATGATGAGGGAGAGTGAAATCCTGAACTTTTGGGCCAAGTTTGTCCCCAATCTGACTTTAAGTGTAAGGGAAGTTGCATGCCTGGTTCTATGAAATCCCTTTAAATGAACTAGGCTCTGACTTCAAGCTCTAAGCCTGGCATATTGTCTTTCATCAGCTGAAAGGTGCCATTCCCCATTTGCTATATGTGCCATTAATTTTTAGAATAAACTATTTTCCCTTCTTTGTTTTAAGGACCCTTCAAATTGTCTGGGGCATAAAATGTCTGTTTCTGCTTTTATTTAAATGCTGAAGATCCTATATTTAATGTCTACTTTTTGAACACAGCTTTTCTTTTTCTTTTATGGTTTTTATTGTAATCATTTAAATCATTTCTTTTTTTTTTACAGAATTAGGAAGATCCTAATGCCTTCTGTACCAGACCCCAAACATCTATATTCTGATTTGTTCAGCGATCATAATGGGAACTTTCAGGTAGAGCATCATATTTTTTCCAGGTTTCTTTCCCTTTTCTTTTTCTTTTTCTTTTTCACAAACTTAGTGTGATCCCTCTGAAATATGCATGCATTCTTGTGTTCCCAGCTGTACATTTAGTGATTTTTAATACCCCAGAGAATATGTGACTATTGAGAGGAAAGCAAATCTAGAACCATGGTTTTATCTTGCTGCAACAAAGGACTCACATCTTTATTAAGCCTAATAAAGCAATTACCAATTACCAAAAAACACTGGATCAATATTTTTCAAGGAAGTCCAAAATACTTTACGGATGTTGCATTTAAAGATTTATTTATTTTTTACAAGATTTTGTACTTACTCTTTATAAGTTGCAAAAAAGAAGTAAACATTACAAATGTGTAAAGCCACAGAAACTTTAGATATATTTAGAGAGGTTTTAAAAAAATGTTTTGGATTGAGGTGATAAAAATTGAGAAGATTTCAGGACATAAATTAAGTACAGACCCCATAGTCATACTAGGAGAAATAAATGTTGTTAGAAAAGTTATAGGAAAATGGTAAGACATTGGTACCCAAATACTGGAATAGAAAACCGCATCTTAAAAGGAAGAAAAAGAATGACATCTGGTGCAGAATTTTAATGCACGAAGTATAATATTATAAAAAAACTGTAATGAAAACTACAGACTATTGTAGCCAGCCCTCTGGCTTGTGTTAATGAACTGTAAGGTGGTTTTACATCAGCCGAGTTTATCTAGTAGGAAACATTTCTGCCTAAACAAATGATGATGTCCACATTTTTTAAGGAATGGATTAGCAAGACAGAAAATGTGCTGGTTCAAACAAAGGTAAAATATGATGCTGATGAAGAAGAAGAATGTGCAATTGAAGAGGAAGAAGGAAAAGATTTCCAGGGAGCCAAAGTATAAGCCAGAGGTAACGTTCTTGAAATCTGCACAGTTCTCTCCCTCAAAAAGGAGAAGAAAGAACTTCAGGACCCAGGTTTACATGCAGTTGACTGCTCATATGAAGGGTCCAATTCACAATGGCACTGTTTGTCCAATGGTAGGGAGGGCTTATGGTGCCCCTTCTCTTTACTGTCTCGGCACCTCCTCTGATTGAATGTATGAACTGGGGCACAGAATATGTTCAGGACACCATTGTTTTCTCAATATTGTTGCATGCCACCCTAGTCTCCAAATGTTGTGAGACTCTAGGGGTTCCAGGTGCTTACTCAGGGTTCTGTTTCCTCAAAACTGAAGACTGTTGTTTCTTTAAGAGATATTGTTTATTTACACATATGTACAACCTGAACCTACAATGGAAGGACTCATAGCATTAGCACCCCAAGAGGGTCTTGCTACTCCCATCGCCACAGCCTTGGATTCAAGCAGAGATCAGGCATGGCTCTGTCTCTCTGGCTTCCCAGCCCTTGCTTCCAGCTTAAAGCTCACATAGTTCAATCTCTAACTGTTTTTCTTTCTAACTAACAGACAGTTGTGGGAGGTGGGAGGCACCTATGTGTACCTTAATGGTCCGTACTTAGGGGGCCATTACACCATGAGGAAGCTAGCCTGGCTATTCCAGGAATTGAATCCATGCCAGATCCAGGAATTGGAAGGGGGCTCAGATATACAGCCTACCTCCCACAAATGCATAACACTATGTTCCCCCTCCCTGATGTTATTATGGTAGGCAATCAAGAAGATACTGAAGGGGTCCAACGTGTACCAGAACTTCAGAGTCAATGCTTGTTATACAACCACTGAAGGCAATATCAACAGGTCGCTCTCACAATTTCAACCACCCAACTTTGCTCACATGCTTATCTCCGTCCTCCCTCCACCGTGTCATCTGTGGATCCTCTGCCAAGAAGACTTCTGAGTGTCAAATGCGTATTAAATAACAGTGAGAAATGAAGTGGTAGATGACATGTAAGTTGGGTAGATGATATGTAAATAGCCATTCTAGAGGATGTTGAATGATACTCATATCACAAATGATAAAAAGAAATAGCCAATCACTGATACTAACTCAGGGAGACAATGCATAACTGTTGCCTGTTCTTTGTTGTTTGACTCACATTGTTGTTTCAAAATAAAGAAACACACATACCCTCTTCTTTGGTTAATAGAAGGCTGCTTCCATTATGCAAAGATTGTCATGTACTACATGTCTATATGGTGCACCAAGTTACAATGAGCAGTGTAAAGTTTATGCAGGGTGTAGATATTCAGCCATGCCTAAAACATATCCCTGTGTTACTGATTCCAGTCCTCAGTGAGCTTTGGAGTAGACTGATTGGTATATATCTGAGTTCTTCTCTTGTAAATTCATCTCAATACTAATGAGGTCTGAGATCTTCTTTGTTTCTCCTATACTGCACTGAATGCAAGAAAGCTCTTCCCTTCCCACCCTTCTGCCTTGAAAACTGTGAGATCTAACTGGTCCCTAATATAGAACTGTCCCTCATGTAGAACTTTAGCCTGTCTATTGCACGAGCTGGCTTTTCATCTGGGAACTGGATAAGCAAGAAGAGGCAGAGGGGCCAGTTAACAATGTGAGGAATCCATATTAGTTTTCTGCATTATGCCAAATTAATGTGTGTACACACAAGCACACCCTTACACATTACAGACCACACAGATGCGTACTTCACATGTTCAGCACATGGGCACATAAATTATGAAGACAGTCTACCCAGAGAAGGGCATTAGAGAACAGGCAGTTGATGTTTATTTTTTTATAGTTTTTATTAATTTTTTTGCTTTACAATTTAGAATACTCATTTAAACATCCTTAAAATATCAATGACTTCCCATCTTCTCTTTCCATGGTTCATTTTGCATATCATAAATCCCTGCATATTTTACATAAAATAAACCATTCAGTATTCTATTATTACATCAATCAAAACCTATTTAAACTGTTGAATTTATCTTAATGCTGCCAACATTTTCAAGTGTACCCAATTTCCCCCTACATATTCAATAAACATTTTCCAGTCTTCTCTAAATGTATGTTATTCTTGTTCTCATATTCTATATGTTAAGTCTGCAAGCTGCGCATATTCGATCAGCTTTAGTTGCCATTCTTCTTTAGTTGGGACTTCACTTGTTTTCCATTTTGGGGCTAACAAAACATGGGCCGCAGTAGTGGCATACATAAATAACCTTTTTTGACACCTAGGAATTTACATCTGAATTATCCCCAACGAAAAGGACTCTGGATTTTTGTGTTTTTATAAAAAAAAGTACTTTAAAAAAAATTCAATTCATTATGGATTATTCCCAATACTCTTTTACCCTTTTACAGGTCCAGTGACAGTTCATGTTTAGATCAGGGGTAGCAAACCTATGACTCTTGAGATGTTGTTGGACTTGAGCTCCTGTGGCCTCTGGTTTAGATCCTCAGCTTCTAGAAAATAGTCAGCTTTGGGCTGTCAGTTTGCCAGAAGGAGAGAAGTTCAAAGCTCACCAGCAGTCACAGAAAACTTACATTGTTCAATGTCCCATCAGCATCCAGATGTTGCACATGGTAGAGGGCATGATCATGAAGCCAACTGAATGCATGGACTGTAATAAAGTACAAGATGGTGGTGATTTCAGAGGTTTATATGGTAGTCTCTAAGGACTTGACTTGGTCACTGGACATCCAATCTCCAGTAAGAACAGAGTATGAATTGCAGTGATGCTCTTTCTGTGCATTGGCTTATGTGTCATTCTTGCTTTTCCATATGTTAATAATTTGGCTTTTAAGCAGATCTCTGTAGGCAGAAGCTTTGTAACAGAATCTTTGCCTCCAGAGAAAAACGATAATGTTGCATGTCTACAACTTATCAGACCACACACACATGCTCAGAGGCAAAATACACAATAGTAATAGCAGATGTTTAGCTGTATTGCTTTAGCTCTGATAATGTGGTCAAGCGCCTACGGGTATTTTGGAAAAATGAACAGCAAAGAAAGTCCTGCATTGTTTTGTCTGAGAGTCCTTCACACTTCTCACGCACATTAGTTTACTAAGTGAAATCAGAAACCGTACACGAGAACCTTACTTTTAGAATTGCACACGTTGGCAGCATCCAGTTTATAATGGATATTTAATTTAAGCCAAATGTCTGTGTACCATGCACAAGAAGGCAGCTGTATTACTTTGGATGTCTCCATGTGAACAGGGCTCCATGATAAGATTGAATAGCAACCAAAACACATAAGGCAGGAATGAGGACATGGTGGCCTCTCAGATGTAATTGGACTCCACTGGCATCAGTCTGTCTTGAGAGACAATGGATGAATGCACCATTGGGAGTAAAGTCAAACTTTTGGAGAGTTGCAGCACTTGCTGTGGATGTAATGACCAATATGGGAGATATATATTTCTTACAACTGGGGCAGATGAAGACATCTGCTTTCACTGCTACAGATGCACCATGGCATTTTTTCTCTCTGTGCTCCTCCCAGTGGCCATTTTTCCTCTGGCCACTGCTATGAATACACACACTGTCTGTCTTTCTGTCTCCAGGCACTGCTGTTGTCTGCAAGCGATGAATGTTGCCAGCCTTCATCTCACATTTGCATACATCTTTATAATGCAGAATTGGTCTGCCGGCAGGCCTGGTGCCTGAAGCCAGCTTCCTGTAAAGGAGTCCTACACTTCCCATAATCCCTGCTATAGTTTCTGGTCTTCTTCTTCTTCTTCTTCTTCTTCTTCTTCTTCTTCTTCTTCTTCTTCTTCTTCTTCACCACAGGCTATTATGTGACTCGTTGAAAGCCATCTTGGTTGTAAGTTGTTTGGGTTGCCTTGGGCAATATAAAGTGTCTAACAAATTTAGTAAGTACAGTAACAATAATAATATTTCAGGGTAAAGCACCCAGTCCAAGAGGTAATCCAAAACATACAGCAACAAAATTCTGAGGCTTCCTGGAGCCTGCTGTTGTCTGTTTAATTATAATATTTTGATTAAAATAAAATAAAAACTAATCTGAAAGTAAATTTTCTAAATGTTTCTGCTGTTTTCTGTTAACCTAACAAATGCTAGAGGGGATCAAACACAAATAAGGGGGTTAAATACTGAGACCCTAAGATGACCCACTCTTTAAAATAAGTTGGTAGGATGGGTGTGAAACAGCATCCTGCCCCCCCTCCCCAATCACTCCTGATTTACTGTACAGAAAGCCAGAAATTATATTATTATTGGGTACCAAATGCTGTTAATATTTAGTGAGTTCCAAAATACAATTTTTGAAAACAATTTTTAGAAGTAAATTCCTTTTTTGCCAATGGCCAAGGTCCATGTAGGATCCTCAGTGAGTCTTCATAGCCCTTAGTCCTCCTTCCTTCTTTCTCCTGAGAGCCCATTCTAGTGGGGAGGTCTTTCATGCACATAAAAAAGAAACTAAGTCCTAGCAATAGCTTCCATGTGATCATAGGAGCTGCCCAAGGGCAACGCTGGAGGAAAGCAACTTTGATGTTCCAAATACCTAATCTCAGACCACATGGACACTTGCCCCTGTAAATTATTAAACACAGACCCTTTTGATCTCACAGTATAAGACTAAGTCATAATTGCTTAATACATTGAAAGATTATCAAAATAAAAGTAAATGGAAACATACTATCTTTAAAAAATGTCATTAGGCATTTTTACTTGTTCATGTTGTTATTGAAATATTCTGTGGTGAGGCCAGTACTTCCTTCCCCTCTCCTCCACCCCTGCCCACTAATCCTGTTAGGCGCAAGATATTCTGTTGCTTATTATTTTACTCGGCCAGATTTTCTCTATGCAAACATAGGCCATGCTCTTGTAAACCTATTATTTGGAAGCAGTTCCACTGAGCACAACAATGGGACTTGGCATTGATGCAACTGTATTCAGGATAAGAGAATAAACCTCAAACTCTAGAAAATACATTTGTTCAAACCAACTAATCCAGAAAATAAGGAGCTGGGAGAGGCACATTGACAGATGAAGTAGCACATACCACAAACAATGTAATCATACTGATCCATTTGAAATCAAGGCACATGCTTAGGATCTGGGGACCATTTGAAGTGCAAGACCCTGAATACAAGCGTGGACTTGTTGGGCTGAGGTTTTATTTGACAATGGAGATCTGTATAATGGCTGCTTGTAACCTAATTTAGTCATTTCTTTAGAAGTCCATTCGGCATCGTTGGAAAGGGCCATACTGCAGCTCTGCGACAGAGCATTTGCATTCCAAGCAGAAGGTCCCAGGTTCAATCCCTGGTATCCCCAGCTGGGTTAGGAGAGACTCCAGTCTCAGTTCTTGGAGAGCTGCTTCTAGGCAGTGAAGCCTTGGCCCAGTATAAACATTCTCAGAACCCAATGCTACAGCAGCGACCAGTATATGCTGCTATTCCCAAGCAGAACCAGCACTTGGGACAGGAGCCAAGGTCCCAGTGTTGCAGCAGGGCACACTCCAGGGCCCCCTTATTGTGTTTTCTGACCAGGCACTCCTGGAAACTGGAGAAGTGAAGCTACAGGAAACCAGGCAGAGGGCCTTCTCGGCAGTGGTGCTCACCTGTGGCACCACCTCCTATCGGATGTCAAGGAAATAAACAACTACAGTGGTACCTCGGGTTAAGAACTTAATTTGTTCTGGAGGTCTGTTCTTAACCTGAAACTGTTCTTAACCTGAAGTACCACTTTAGCTAATGGGGCCTCCCACTGCTGCCATGCCTCCGCCATGCGATTTCTGTTCTCATCCTGAAGCAAAGTTCTTAACCTGAGGTACTATTTCTGGGTTAGCAGAGTCTGTAACCTGAAGCATCTGTAACCCGAGGTACCACTGTATTTGACTTTTAGAAGACACCTGAAGGCAGCCCTATTTAGGGAAGTTTTTAATGTGTGATGTTTTATCGTGTTTTTAATAGTCTGTTGGGCGCCGCCCAGACTGGCTGGGGAAACCCAACCAGATGGGCAGGGTATAAATAATCAGTTGTTGTTGTTGTTGTTGTTGTTGTTGTTGTTGTTGTTGTTGTTGCTGCTGCTGCTGCTGCTGCTGTTAATACTGAGCTAGATGAACCAAGGCCCTGCCCTCTACTTACACCTCGGAGTGGGTGTGTCATGCGAGGCTGGGCTTCTGCAGCAGCGGCAGCCTCCCCGCCTCCTCACATGCTCTCCAGTAGCCGCTGCAAATGGCCTAAGAGAGGAGGCCAATAGCAATGGTGATGGAGACACTGTGGAAAGGCAATGGAGAGGCAACAGGATGCTCTCTCACAACCACCACTGCTGCTTCTGTCACCGCTCAGGATAAGCACTGGCTCATCTTCCTTCCCAAGTTTGGTGGTGCTGGAGCTTGTGGGGGAAAATAGGGGTATTCTGGGATCAGATAAGAAGCTGGGGTGGCTTTCATATTTCTGGGACTCTCCCTGGAAAATAGGGACACTTGGAGCATATGCACATATGCTAAAAGAAAGGATTTAAGTTCTTTACGAAACTAAAGCGTACTCGTTTATTCTTCATACTAAAAATGTTGTGCTATGCAGTTTACGTGCTTGACTATCAAGCTCACTAATGGTCTCAAAAGCAATATATTTATCCTAAGCATTCACCCCATAATGGGTGCTCTAAGTATTCAGGCCAGCACTAGCTTTTGTCAAAACAGATTCAGTGCTATACAGATTGATGAAGACCAGCACTGGCTGAAATGCAATATGAGGATGCTAGTATGCAAATAGACCTCTTTATTTTTTTTAAGAGACTGCATAATATTTACTGAGCTTCTTGATTAAACAAGTTGGCTCCAGGTCAGGCTGCACGTTAATATGCCCAGGGTTGTTTTTGCAGCATGGGGACTTCTGTTTTACATGATGTTTCACCCAGAAAGAAATAAACAAGGCTTGCTTAGCAGCGCTGTAACAAGCTGCGTCGTTGCCTTGATTCACCCCACCCAAGAGGCTGGAGCAGAACGACTGCCAATTACTCTGGGTTGAAAAATGTCCGCCAAACAAATGATAAAACACC